CGCTGGGGACGCGGAGACGCGGGGCGGGCCTGCCGGGGCGGGGCCTGGGAGGCGGAGAAAGCCGCGGCCGCCCGGAGCCCAGTCGCGTGTTCCCAGCCCCCGGAAGTGGCCGTTGTAAACTTCACCTCGCCGACTTTCTCCATCCTGGTCCTAGAGTCCACCGGCTTTCCTCCGTTGTCACTCCTTCTCCCGAGGGCTGCCTGCCTGGCCTTCCACCCCAGACCTGAAGCTAGCTGCCCGGGGGTCGTGGGTGTGCAGGCTGGACCACTCGAGCCCGAGGTAACCGCGGGCTGTGGGTGCATGGAGATGAGCGCCCGGGGGCCGGGAGGTGCTGAGAGGAGACGGGGCTTGCAGAGAGGACCTGGCTTGGGGCTGCTCGCCGGTGCGGACACGCCTCCAGCTCGGTGGCCGACGCTCTCCGCCCGCCTCTGGAGGCCGATGGGCGTCCTCCGCGCTCCCTGGAGGACCGATGGGGACCAGAGTCCTCGGAGCTCCTTGGGATCAATACCCGAGGATCACAACTTTTTTTTCGTGTTTTACCTCCATTTCATTTACATGCTAGCCACACTTTAGTCACTCTACAAACTTTTGATAAGCAACACAATGAGTTGGGTCAGATTGCTTTCTGCAACTTCTGCCTACCCACCGGGACGCTAAGAAAAGTCAGCTGTGAGTTTTTTAAAGCTGAAATTTGTGTAGCAGTGACTGTTTTGAATGTTTAATCCTTTACGATATTCATCTCAGGCAAATACGTAACTTATTAGAGTCGATATCAAACACTCTCTAAGGCTTTACACATCGATGTTTTACACTTCTAAGAGTGGAAAAGAGAAGTTACCGTTTTTTGTTATCTGCATTTAACGGTGCCTAGTAACGACCAAACAGAATGAACATGCTCTCCAGTGAAAGGCAGAGGAATGAAGCCAGTGCAACTTGATATTAGGAAAAGTGAGAGCAGTTGTGGGAGACGGGAGCTTTCTGCATTAATCCTGGCTCAGCCGTTTATTCACTGGGTTAAATCACCTAACCTCTTGGGACCTTAGGTTCTTTATGTCGGATAAGCAGAAGGGCTTAGTCTCGAAGGTTCTATTACATTTTTGTTTCAGTCCTTTTGTCTTAGTCTTGTTTTATGGAAAGACTCACATATCTCCTTTAGTTCTCTACTTTTTACAGGTGCGGGGTGGAAGATGGTTGAGACTGAACAAGAATTATAGTCATGAAATGTTCTGCTACTGAGCTGCACTCCAGCTCTTAAATGCTCCCTTACCAACTGCGGACACTCCCTACACAGGTGTCCTGACTAATGGACACAGAACTGCATAGAGGAAAAAAAAAAGACAGATTTAGCATTAGGGGATATAAACCATTTCCTCTTGACTTTAAAAAGACTGAATGACTTGAGAACAAATTGTTGGGTCAGGGAAAAAATATTTGGTAAGACTCCCCAACTAGGAAGACAGTGGAATAGTGTCATGGACACAGGTTGTAAGTTCCTTTTAGCTTTAAGCAAGAGCAAAAGCGGCTGGTGTACACTTGATGAAATCTGGTGGTTGTTGATGAGTTAGTGTGCATCAGTTTGAAGATGGAGGGAAGAGAAATTAGAGTGTGCTCAGGGAGTCGTAGGCTTTTCTAGACAAATACGGCATGGAGGCTGTGAGGCTGTTTACTTTGTATAGCATCATTAGAAGTCATCTAGATGTGAGTTTGAAGTTGAATTCTTCTGGTGAATATCTTTGTACAAATCACTCAACCTCTGGGCAACTCAGTTCTCTCACTTGTGAAATGTACAAATAGCCTGAAGATTATCGGGAATGAGATCAAGTGTGCTCAGCTGTGTATGTGGCACGCAGGAAGTGTTCGAGGCTAGCTCCTGGCTCTTGGCCCACCCTCTCTTTCCTCAGGTCTATGCAGACTGGTTGAGAGGTGAATACATTGTGGAGACACAAGTGAAGGATTTAGATGTTGGTTGGAAAACTTGTGCCAGAAATGGTTCTTAACATCTAGAGTAGAATCTTCTTCCTTTTAGGATGGCCAGATAATTGATCCCTTGGCTGCTCACTTACCTATTTCAAAACAAATTCTTACTGAAGAATTATATATCTATACATGTATAGATATATAATTATATATAATGTATGTATTCCTGTGCCATATTATTTTTAAAAATTCTTATTCTACAGTATATATAACACTCAGTTATATCTTTTAGCAGGAATAGCTAGAGTAGTTCAAATCTACAAACAGGAAAAGAGTGATGTATTTGTATGGAAAGGTCCATTGATCAAAATCTTGCCTTTGTCTACCAGTGCTTTGGGATGGCCTAGTTCTAGCCAAAGCCTGTGAAGGTACTGTCTGGGTTGAGAATCTGCTGCAAGTTAGAGTCCTTTGTGTGGAGAATACTGTGACTTCTTGTTAGTTTGTTAGAAGAGACTTTATTTTAGATTTAAAAAAAATGATGAGTTTATTTATTGTTCTTGTGCTGGAGGTTGAACCTGGTCTCATGCTTGTTAAGCATGTGTCCTATGACTGAGGTACTATCCCACCTCCTGCTCCATGTTGATGTCTTTAAAAATTGAGATATAATTTGCATAATACAAACTTTACCATTTTAAATTGTACAGTTCAGTGGTTTTAGTGTATTCCATATGTAGTCTAACTGTTACCACTGTTTAACTCGAGAACAATTCTGGTATCATCAAAAAGAAATCTATTGCCGGGCGTGGTGGCGCACGCCTTTAATCCCAGCACTCGGGAGGCAGAGGCAGGTGGATCTTTGTGAGTTCGAGGCCAGCCTGGGCTACCAAGTGAGCTCCAGGAAAGGCGCAAAGCTACACAGAGAAACCCTGTCTCGAAAAAACCAAAAAAAAAAAAAAAAAAAAAAAAAAAGAAATCTATTGACAGTCAGCTAAAATTCCCTGTCTTTCTGCCCCACAACAACCCTACTTCCTGTGGAGTTGCTTCTTCTAAACATTTTAGAGTAATGAGATCAAAACTATCTCACCATCTGGGCGGCGCACGCCTTTAATCCTAGCACTTGGGAGGCAGGCAGATCTCTGTGAGTTGAGGCCAGCCTGGTCTACACAGCAAGTTCCAGGACAGGCTCCAAAGCTACACAGAGAAACCCTGTCTTAACCCCTCTTCCCCAAACAAACACAAAAAAAAACCCAAAAAAACTATCTCACCTTTTTGTGCCTGGCCTTTTCACTTAGCATATTTTTTATATATTAATTTCTGTTCAATTGTTGAATTGCTCTGGGATGTTGTTCTGTATGCTATGAATGTGTGTTGCTTGATTGGTTGATAAATAAAATGTTGATTGGCCAATAGCCAGGCAGGAAGTATAAGCAGGATAAGCAGAGAAGGAGAGTTCTGGAAAGAGGAAGGCTGAGTCAGGAGTCGCCAGCCAGACACAGAGGAAGCAAGATGTAAAAGTACTGGTAAACCACAAGCCACGTGGCAAAGTATAGATTTATAGAAATGGGTTAATTTAAGACGTAAGAGCTATTCAGTAATAAGCCTGAATTAATGGCCAAGCAGTTATAATTAATATAAGCCTCTGTGTGTTTACTTGGAGGACATGAGTGGGAGAGATTTGTCCTGACCGCCAGCCACAACACAGTAAACTACATATAATAATATATATTTATTTAGTTATTGGTTAGAAGATGGGCATCTAATATTTCCACTTTTTTGTGGATATGAAATATAATGTTGTGACTTTTCTTGTGCAAGTTTTTGTTTATAGGTGTTTTGTTGTTGTTGTTTTGAGACAGTGCTTCTCCGTATAGCCTTGGCTGTCCCGGAACTCACTTGTAGAGGAGGCTGGTCTGAACTCACAGAGATCTACCCACCTCTGCCTCCCAAGTGCTGGGATTAAAGTCATGAGCCACCACGACCCAGTTGAATTGATCTCGTTTAAGCTCTAGGGACTTTTAATAAAGAAAACGAACTTTACTTTCCACTGGTCTCTTTCAGTTGCTTCTAATGGTGTTAGGACCTCCTCCCCCACTGACAGACAGTGTGCCTACTCTGGAGTATTTTCTGCAGTCTGTGCCCAAATCCAATATTATTGCCACTGTACTTGGTGGCACCAGCTTTGGCCACTATAGCATAATATTCTATTTCAGATTTCCTCAAAGCTGGGGGTTGGCGAGGATGTTAATTTCCCTTTGCCCTGTCATTGTCCATCCGTTTGTTCCCTAGCATGTTTCTGTCTACTGTTTTTCTTTCTTCCTTCCTTCCTTTCTTCCTTCCTTCCTTCCTTCCTTCCTTCCTTCCTTCCTTCCTTCCTTCCTTCCTTCCTTCCTTCCTTCCTTTCTTTTTTTT